CTCGGGCATCTCTTTCGGATGCCTCCTGGGCGCCTTCCTAGGGAGGTGTTCCGGGCATGTCCCACCGGGAGGAGGCCCCGGGGAAGACCCAGGACACGCTGGAGGGACTATGTCTCTCGGCTGGCCTGGGAACGCCGCGGCATTCCCCCGGAGGAGCTGGAGGAAGTGTCTGGAGAGAGGGAAGTCTGGGCATCTTTGCTTAGACTGCTGCCCCCGTGACCCGGTCCCGGATAAGCGAAGGAAAATGGATGGATGGAAGTTACAAATGACAATTTAAAGGAAACATTTCTACTGTTCGACACTGTGAACAAAGATTTACAGCCACAGCAACAGCTTAGGGTTTTGCAGCAGCAGCTTTAAAGTCTGCATACTGTCTGTGCAAACACGCAAATTTTGGGGAGAGGTTTTCTCTTGTTAGTGGTTAATGACGCTCCTTAGATAAATGCCTGTGCGTGGTCAGGACTCTAGGGACAGTGAGGGAGAGGTACCGCAGGTCTGTATAAATATATAGTGGGACAGGAAAAAGATTCATTTCTTTTGGTAGCATGGACCACATACATCTCCCCTGCTAATGAATTCAGATGGCTGCATTACTGGGATATTGTTCAGCTGAATGATGGCGGCAGATGGCCTTCATTTCCATAAGAAAGAGCAGTTGGCCCCCTTATGTATAGGCTCTAAAATAAAACCAGTTGAGACTTATTAAAAATGCTCTCTATGTATAAGTCTACAAGTTAGAAAGAAAAAAGAGCAGGCCTGTCTTCCAAAGGACAAGCTGACAGAGAGCATTTTAATGTACAAGCGCTGGTTTGCCTTCAGCCAATTTCACAGTGAGGACCTACAGTGTCAGGTCTAATCTGTGTATGTATCATATCTACAATTCATTAAGTGATAGATAAAACTGTGCCTAACAAAATGTGAATTCAATTCAGTATTATAATTGAATCTAAACAACTTACCGTGGTGTATCTAACAGACTCAAGATCAACTCATCTCATCATAAACACTGTATTACTAAAGCTAAACCAAACTGCAGATTGAAGTGTGTGAGTGAATTAGATCAGCTCTGCTATGTGTCATGGAAGTTGTGGAGTGAAGTAAGACCGTGTATGAACATGTAAATGAGGCAGAAAAAAGGAAAGTACAAGGCTAATTATGTTCCTAACTGACTGATTAAGTCTCTTTTACCAGTCGCCTTCTGTGTAAATTGCGTTTCTATCTTGGGAAATTAACTAGGCTATGTGGACCTCACATGTGTTCCAACACTCTTCATTTGAAACCTTCATGTTAATACTGATCTGATCCTCGTTTGGCTGTGTGAGCACATGTGTGTGTGTGAAACAGAGAGAGGAGGGGAGAGGGAAAGAAAATGTGTGTCAGTGTGTGTAAATGCATACGGAGAGCATGAGTGTTTTTCATGTGTGTGTTTGTGTGTGTGTGTGTGTTATGGGGTTAGGGGCGGAATGCAAAACTAACTTTGAAGAAGCAATTTCCATGTAATCCGTCAGCAGCCTGGCGTCAATCCCGTCGATACTCAGCTAATTACAAAATCAATGGCCATGAAGTTCCACAGCTGTCACACCCACAAGACCCCTGGAGCTGAAGCTCTCTCAGGCTGTGTTCAAACGGGCCGAGGCTGCCCTCTCACTCTCCCTGAGACCCCTCCCAACCCCTGCCTTTCTCTCTCACACTTCTCCCTTACCTTTATGTCCCCGTCTTTCCATCAAGTCCCCCCCCCCCAATTTATCCTCTACTTTCTCTTGGAGAGTTTGTCATCACAAGACTAAAGCTCTGGGCTCAGCATTTTTCATTTTTCAGTCAGGCAGGAGAAAAGACTCCTAACAGGCATTGATTAGTGGGGGACAGGCCTGGCCTCATGAAAAGCAAACTGTCGATACGGGTGCGGCATCTTCACACTGGAACAAACGAGGCCCGTCGCTCCCCAACGCTCATTCCACTCCACTTAACACATTTTATTGACAGCCCCTGTTTTCCTAATGAAATGCTAAATATATCTCCCTCGGCTATAGTGCGCTGGCAGCTACTGTTATGGAGATGGAGAAAATGAGAGCGCAATGTGACAGTCTCACACACACACACACATATATATACAGTATATGCACACAAATGAAAACATTGATACACACACCTACTTCCACACACAGGGGGTGTTAAATTAAACAACCATGCTCCTGACCTTTTCGTCCCCTCTTATCAGTTATCCTTCACTGTGGAAGTGATCGGCTCACAAAACAGACAATCACTTGACATTTTTTGTTTCATTTCTTTGTTTGCTTTAATTAAATGCCAACTATTGCAATTTATTTGAGATTTAACGCAGAGATATTCCTTCCTATCAAGCTCATGCCACCTAGTAAAGGATATAAATGAAGTAAAGGAAAGGATTTGACCAAAAGACTGCAAATTACAATAAACATATAAGTTCCTGGTGAAAGCTTTATATAAATCATTTAGTCAGTTGTCTCTCAGCCATAATTTAAAGCTACGGTATGTAACTTAAGGTAGCACTAGGATGAAACTCCAAATCAGTCCACTCTGCTCCGCCCAGCGCTCCCTCTCCCTGTTCCACTATGCTCTGCCACATTCTGCCCAGCTCTTCAGTTTTGTTGTGATGAAATTATAATAAAAGAGAAGGTAAACAAAACCTACTGATCAAGCAGAAATAATTGAAAATCTCTGACTGGTTAGAGAGGTCAATCCCACTTAAAACCTTTAAGAAGCTAGTATCTCTGCACTGCTGCCTGTGCTGTTCGGTGAGTCTGGGTCACAAGAGGCTTCGACATCACCACTCCACCCAAAGACCAGTTATTCCCCAAATTCAACTTGAACTATTTGGTATATTTGGAAATTTTGAGACCCCTGTTACAACTTAAAGGAGGTTTACTATACCTGAGTTGGCAAGGGCAATGGCTTTCAGTGTGACAAACTCCTCCTTCTCCATGCGCAGCTTCTTGTAGCGTCGGACCAGCGGCAGGATGGCAACGTGCAGGTCCAGCAGGCCCGAGCTCCTCGCCTGCTCCTCGTCCACCACGTAGTCCTCAGCATACACAATCTCATCCTCACAGGGTAGCGAGCGAAACACAATGCTCAGCACCAGGATCTCCATCCAGGCACTCTGCAGTAGACTCATCTGGTCTGCCAGTGAGAGAGTGGAAAACCCTGTAGGATGAAAAAGAAAATCTGATTTTTTGAGAGTTTCAGTCCAGGTATTAATCACTCTTATTAATGGGTGACATGATGTTGTTAGATTAGTACAGTTGTTCTCATACTAACAAAGTTTAAGCCAAAGATAAAACAAAAACACAAGCATATGTCCACTGACAGCATCGCTCCCCATTCTTTACGCTCTTGTGTTCAACCTTCTGAACTCAGGGTAACAACTGAGCCAGATCTCGAGGTCAAGCCATCAATTGTCTCCTCTAACATTCACAAACACCACATCAGGGGAGATCGACACCTGAAAGGACATCAACTGCCACAATACCTTTCACTACATTATGGTGAATAGGGAGGTGACTGGGGGTATTGACCACGGCCTTGAACCCACCATTCTGCTTACATAAATCTGAGCTTGTATGGTTGGGAATGAGGCAGGCTGACTTAAAAAGTCCTCCTGATGGCTCTTATCAAGCAAATAAAGAAACGATGGGAAGAGAGAGAATGAGGCAGAGAGAAAAGAGTGCTGCGGGTGTCATTGATTAGTAGATTGTAATCAGTCCACCAAATGCGAAAGGGGCATCGATCCAAGCCTCAGATCTGACAAACAGACAGTTGATGGAGGACATCCAGTACACAATTAGTGGGGGAAGGGAGGACTATGGGAACACAGAATGTAGATACTTGTAGGCTGCATCGGGTATTCATGATTCATTTACTCACCATCCTCAAAACACTTTTGCCAAATAAATGAAACCCATAAAGTTTAATACTTTAAGCCAAATTTAGAACAATGAGGCAAGATCAGTGACTATACTTGTAACATATTTAGTTGTCTGGAAAAAAGCCAAAGTGAGTTAGAAAAAAGCATAACAATTGTAAAGGAGCAGTGATTCAGAAATTTAAAAAATCCTATTAATTATTAGTTTTTGTTGCTTTTTTCTTTAATATTATATCTCTTCACACATCTTGTAAACTGTCTCCTCCTTTTCTTTTTCACTCTTTCAGCTTCCCTAGCGTGTAGATTTTCTTTCCACTCAATTTACTGAAGTGATGGAGTGACTTCCTGCTCCCCCGAGGTCGCCCCGGAGCTTCAGGTGCGTCACCCAGAGGTGGCAGAGTTACGCATCGCATTGGAGGGTGATTCCCGCTGATGAAACATCAATATTTCACTCTACTGATTTACTGCTGTTTAACCAAACATGACACATATTGAGCAAAATGGGCAATGTCTCTGTCTCTGCATTTTCCTCCTCATGTCATGACAGAAAAGACACTAAGGTTGTTGCTGCCTTATAAGAAAATTAATTTATTGTCACCCACTCTGCTCTACAAAGGAAGACAGCAATAGCTACAAAAATTAAGATTTTTTTTGGGGGGGGTTAAAGTTTTCAGACTGGTTGTTAATTACATAAAAGAAATGTTGTAGTGTCTTTATTTTATACCATTTAAAGTTTATTATGTGTATATCAGTGCCATAAGATACCTACTCTCTGAATAGCCTTGTTAACCTTTAGTGAATCCAAGGACAATATGCAACATAAAAAAAGGGTGGCACATTGCTTTCTTGTCATTTTGAACTCATTTAGAAAGGTAAACTATATTTTAGTATATGAAATGAAATCAAAATAAAAACCCATTAATGAATATGTAATATGTGACTTACAAAAAAATGCATGAAATTGTGTGAACTTCACTCATCAAAAACTAAGCTACGCTAGTTCATGTTTTTTCCTCCATTATTACTGGATTTAGTCTTTGACTTATTTAGTTGTCCTGGAAAACTAAATGGCGGAAAACCATTTGGCTAAGGTAAAATATTGAAAAAGTAAAATAATTGAAGCATGAGGCATAATGTGTTTAATTTAGCATCTAACCAAAACTACAATCTTTCCTTTAACCTTTATCAAACATTACAAGATACCAACCCAGTGTCAAAGTATATTTTGTCTTTGTAATGCAGAAAAGGTAAATCAAATTCTACTTTCCAGGGCCACAAATCTACATATAACACGGTAAGTCATACTGAACCACAGTACCAGACTATATGTTAGTGACTGTTTGCAGAAAAGAAAAGTGCTCTGCCAATGCAACAGTACAGGTACAGATCAGATATGTAACTGAATCCCTGCTCAGTACAATAAAGAGACTGAGTGGTTGGCACTGAAGCTCGAAGCTGTCATTGAGAGCTAGGTTTAAAACAGACAGCACTGCACTCTCTATTCATTTAGTATCATTACAGGCCTCCTAAGTGCCCTAATAGGCCTAATAAAAAGACAGAGGTAATAATGAAACCAGAGGGCCCAGTGTGAGCCAGAGGAGGAGGGGAAGAGCCAGGGGAACAGGAGAACAGGAAAGCCAGAAGTGTGTGTGAAAGGTATGCTGACAGAGAGAGAGAGAGCGAGAGAGAGGCAGTGAAAGATAGAAGAGAAAAAAAAACAAAGAGGAAGAAAGTGATGCTTGGAACCGAATGAACATTAAATATCAGAGGTGCTGAACGCCGTTGCCTCAGACATAAATCTACACGTTGTGTGCAGTTACGTCTGAGATGATGTGTGTTTGTTAACAGCTGCACACATTAGTGTTCACCTCTGAGCTCTTGACAATTGTCCTACAATTCTGTTGTCATTTTTATGACAGTGTGTGTAATATCCAATCAGTGGCTTCCTAGTAAATAGTTACACCCATCCACCTAAACTTGTTTTAACCATGCTACTGACAGTTTATTTCTTGAAGATGTATCCGCCATTTTGTGTTTGGTACAAATATTTTGAGAAAATTTTAACTTGTGCACATTAAAGTACATCTTTAAAAACATCTAAGAGAAAACCTATTCAGCGACACTTGTCTTCTCCCAGGTTCTCTACATCTGGGTGGTGAAGGACTTTTACACTAATGGAGCAATTTACCTCACTGTTAAGGCCATTTGCTTGGTGAGCTATGAGTATAATGTTGGGAGTGAATTGTTAAACTGTAGGGACCCCTTTAGTCTTAATCGTTACTTGGTGACACTCTGAACTAGTGGCCCCGGGTAAAATGTCCCCAGAGTGCCCCTTTAATTATTCTGTCAGCTCTGGATTTAGATCTTCATAACATACAAGATCAATAGTTATACATAGAAAATGTAACAGAGATTGAGGCCCAAAAATATAATAGTAGATTTCTTAAATTCATTTCTGCACCCCTGTGGCAATGATTACACTGTAGAATTTGATTGTAGTTGCCCTGTTTGGGCTCTTCATGATTCTTTGAAAACATACCTGAAACACAGTAGACTTAAACTAGAATTACTGCCTCGCAGTTGTATGCCTCCGCTCACCAGTCAAGTTCATGGGAATGGGTTGGACATGAGGACACATCAAAATTTAATCCATTCATCCTTGAGTTCAAGAGGACATGTGTGTCAAATTTGAAGAAATTCCCTCACAGTGTTCCTGAGATATCGTGTTGACAAGAATGTGCTGGATGTACGGACGGACAACCAGAAAACATAATGCCTGAGAAGCATAAAAAAAGAAGCTAGTTAAGACTTGTTCCTAAGATGCTGGATGCAAAAGATGCCAGGGGAAAAGTGTGCATTTAGGTCAGGGATGCTCTTTTTTTGTCTCAGTGTAAACTACAAAATGGTGATACAGCACCTTCACCTTGTACCCTGGCACCCCCCCCCCCCCCACCAGGCTGATCTCCTCATTAGACTATACAGCTCCCCAGTGCCTCCCATTCCTCCCAGGTTCCCAGGATGGGGCTGGGATTGACACCTTCACCCACACAAAACTGCATTAATTATGGTGTTAAATGTAAATCTGATGACAAATCACTGATTAGGTCTAACCCTGGAGATCGGAGAGCTAAGTAGGGGGTCACTGTTAGCTGGAACAGGTAGGAAAATATCGCTACATGCAATACCACCAAACACCACAGGCTCTGTGGGCTCTATATTTTATATACTTTCTGTATACATTAGTCCTTTAGCTGGTTATCACTGCCACACTACCTGACTGCCACTTTTGTGACCACATATGATCTAGTTTCAGAGACAGGGCAGGAGGGGCAAAGAGGAGTGGAGTAAGAAGAGGAGGGGATACTGCTCGAGTTTGTTTTGACTCTCACTTCACCCATAACAGTCAAAAATTAGAGGGACAAGTTAATTCATGCAGCTTTAAATATGTGAATATTTGAAGACATTACCTTGTGCTCTGAGAAATGGTGGTGCTGTGAATGAAACACATTCAAAAGCGTCTAGAATACTGGCCGGTTCAGTAGGTTGAATTGTATATAAATTTAAATTAGCTGTTTTTTTAATTGATTGGACCAAAGAGATGCATCCAAACTGTGCTCCCGTTAAGCATACATGAGTTCAAAATGTCTTTTTTAATGGAATGAGATGAAAAGAAAGATCTAATGACATTTACACAACAATTCTTATTTAAGACTTCACCAACAAGGACTGGGGGAATCTCTCAGTATTTCTCTAAATAAATCAATTGTACCTCAGGCCCAGTGTCGTCTCCTTAAGTATGTAAGAGGATTGCTTTCTTTAAGTCTGGGATTGAAAAGGAATACATTGACATGAGGTGGATCCCACTCCCCCGGCCTCTCCCACCCCGCCCAGTCAAATCAAAGGTTTCAGCTGCTCTTTATTGATTAGATTTTAGAATATGGGACTAGCTTCTCCCTTAGGTGCAGACGAGTAGCAGATGTTAATTATGTTGTGTGTGTGCATGAATGTGTGTGTGCGAGGGGTGTTTATGTGTGTGCAACAGTCAGTGAACTACTTCAGTAATCTCATACTGTATCGCTTTAGCAAATTAAAGCATAACATACTTCCTTGTTTTTCCTTTCATAAATCCAGTTCTCAATAGTCAAATACTAATACAAGACCACACTCAGCACAAATAAATTTTGTAATGTTTTGAATTAAAACAGCTGGTTAAATCTAGTTATGTTTCTTATTGTTATTTGTCTCTCGTCTACTGATTTTTCATTCGTTGGCTGCCACGTCTCTGTACCTGGGATATGTTTGGCCCAGCCGATGATGACCACAAGCTCGCGGTCGGCCAGGTCACACAACGTGGTCAGGGCCTTGATGTCTCCGTCAGGCATGGTGGGGTCAGGCATGGCATAGATCTTCTCTGGCTCCACCACCAACAGATGGGAAACGATCTTTGTCACTGAGAGAGAAGACGATGGATGCAGATATGAAGGGAAATGAGGTGAAAGATATTCAAATGTGCAGTGAGACCGTTTTTGGACACTTTTTTTTTTTTTTAAAGGAAAATAACAAAAAGCTAGGCTGGATTACAGTGGTACACAGTAATTACAACAAATAATTGAATAAATAATACATTTGAAAAGTTCATTTAGAAGACTGTCTAGCAATGTCATAAAATATGGTGTGAACTGTACAACAGGTGGCAGGTTGGCTGGCTGATGAATATGACTTTAGTGCAACTGTTCCTCAGGGAAGCATTCTATAAAATGAATATGTTTCCAACTGCACTATTCCAAGTCCCAACATATCTGCAAATGGCCCAAATGATGTAATTGCTGCTTTGATATAAAAACATAATGAATCCTCTATGTTATGTTATGTTACCACCCAAGTGTGTGACTCACATGGCTTTTTGGCAGGAGGGGGGATGGTGAGACCAAGGTAGGCACCGTTCTCTGGGTCCAACCTTCGTTTGTACTTCTGTCTCCCCCCTCTCACTCGGTCCAGACGTACACCTGCAAAAAAACAAACAAACAAAAAAAAAAACAAAACAACACAATACATGTATAAATATCAGAAAGAAACTAAAAATACTTTTAAGAGTGAGAAAAACTTATTCAGCAGAACAGAGTAACATAAAACTAATGTAAGCAGCCATTCAACTGCAACATTGGTGAGTTGTTTTTTGAGTATCATGTGTAGTCATTTTTTCAAATTGTAGTATATTTCTAACAGACTATGTTGAAATATATACTATACACAAAGCACACTAAACAAACTTTACTGATAATGCAGCAATTTATTCCTATTGACATACTACATGTGATAACTGGTAGTACAGAGTTCTGTTCCTTCATTTTTAACCTTCTGACTGAAAAGCAGGACTGTTCAATACATCTCTGCTGCAGATTGAAGACTGTAAGTATCTAGTTAGTATACAAACGTGACATATCTGGGATTATCTTGAAAGCCCTCTCTGAGGACGGTGGCTACATCTGATGCATCTTATGTGCTGGATTTACACTCTGGTATTAAAAGTTGTTTGAGCACTGAGGGAGAGCAAACAGATTTTACATGGTCAAGTGGAATTGAGTCATGTGAGATTTCCCAGTGACTCATATAAATTCCTTTGATTCCCCTGAAAACAAAAGAATCCGATTAAGATGGTCTTTCAATTTCCTGACACCGACTATCCACTAACCTAATTACCCACCGTGCCCAGAGGGAGCTCATTCTTCCCAGCAAACACAGTGAGATCATTTTATGCCTGGCAGATTGAAGCTAAATCGAGAGCCCCTCTCCTAACACAGCTTTCCATTTGTACGTCTTAAAGTAATCAATAAGGCTTGCAAATAGACTTCTTGTTCTTTGAACACATGTGGATGCAGTTTTAATTAGTCAGTTAGGCAGCTAGGAACTGGGTTTGCAATAGATTTGGAGCTTTAGTAGTTGTTCATACCATTAATCTTAGTTAAAGTAAATTTAAAATTATAAATTGTGTGTGTGTACTCCAGATATGAAATCAGTTCAGTGGCTTCTCTCTATTTAATGGCACACATAGGCCTAATACAGTTATATGCAGTTAGTAAAGGCTTTCACAGCAATAGGTCTACTAAACCTAAATACCCTAAATTCACGCACCACAGTTGTCAGACAAAGTGACCGTGAATTGCTGCTGCTTTTGTCCCTGACATCTACAGATACCACCATCCTCACATGCATGCACACAGAATCACAGACACACACACACACAAACAGAAATACAATGATTTCTCTGCTGTGGGCTGCAGGGTCATGTCGCTGCTACAAGCGACAAGTGACCAAACAGCCAGAGTTCGAATTCCAAGATCTGCAGGGGCTGTTTTGAACTGGAACATCCAACTGGCCTACAATTAATAGACACTGACAAGAATTAAAAGCTCAGCACTAACCAGTTTCAGTTTACAGCTTAGCGACGCTGCAAATGGCAGGAGGGTAGAGAGAAAGGAATCAGAATTAGAGGGTTGGGGAACTAGGCAAAACAAGCTGCTGTTTTTGGCTGAATGCATCTGTTTTCTGCAAGATCTCTGTTTGTTTTTCTCTCACTTTTCTTTCAGTCTCTCCCTCGCAGCTCTGGGGGTACATCTCCTCCCTGACAGCCCTGCCTCTCAGCCAGCGCCTGTTCTGACCAGTGTGGGATTATCTCCTCTCCCATGTGATACGGCACAGTACTGAGAATCTGACCACAACAAGACAGCTGGACAAGGCCCCTTGTGGAGGCCCGTGGAGGGTTTTTGGTGTCATCGTCAGCACCACATTCCTCACCTCAGGCCCAAAACCACAGCAGCCTCTGTGCTTCAAAACAATCAGGCCCTAAAGAGAGCTTGTGTCGGGGTTGTGACAGACCCTGTGACAGGGGGGTCAGGCAGATACACAAATCATCTTAAAAGCATCCAGATCCATTTTTTATGGTTGTGGGCTCTTCGTAAAGTGTAGCAGCCAAAATATGGGCTCAGGGGGTGAGGTTAAAGACCGTAGGGAATGGGAGGTGGTGGAAGTGTATGTGGCAGATATTATGAGCTCAGTATGGACATACAGTACAGTACGCTCATAACTTATCACAAAGTATGAGAGAAACAGGCTGAGGGTCCATCCTTCCTGTGCGTATGTGTGTGTACATGTGTGGAAAGACGATGAGGCATGTTTGCATAGGAGCAATCTTTACGGCCACCTGAGCCCGGATTCCCTTACACATTCAATACCTTTATTGAGTTGTGCAACCTTAAAGCACACTCCTGATTGAAGCAGCTGTGTTTTCTTTTATGGCTAGTGGCAGCTCCTGCATGTATATATCATGTGCTTATTTTGTACTGTTTACAGTGATGCATATTCACTTCAACAAACTTCAAATTTCGTGGCCACATAACAGAAACAACAATTTTAAAATCACAGATCATAAATTCCCATTCAACAAAAAAACTACAAAGCTGAAATAAAAATTTTAAAAAGTGGTGTATTTATTTAGATTTTTCATATTTCATTTACTCTGTAATAATAAAAATTATACGCAAAAAAAAAACTGTCCAGAAAAAAGAAAACTAAGAATAAAAGTAATAAAATGCCCCAAAGTGTCATTGATTCACTAAGATTGATTTATTATATACAGATGAAGCCCTGTAGAGAACAAATTTCATCACACACATGTGGTGTGTATCAAGTTTGTGTGTTACAGTATGAACATGTGCATGTGTGTGTTTCTGTATTTCACGCAACTATTTTCAGCCTCTCACCTGTCAGAGGCGCATCTTTCTAGAGAACGTGTCAGGATTGGCTGGCTGGTTAATGCTGCCAAAGAGAGATTAGGCGCTCCCTATTTTAGCTGGGAAAAATCAGAGGGATGCAGTGTGCACCCCCTCCTACACGGCACTCGCTTTACAAGGCACAGGGACCTTGCCCTTCTAGAGCTACTTCTGAAGGCACGTCTGTAAGGCTGTAAAGAGCAGGAGGCATTGCACTCTTCTGACCGAACAGAGTCTAGGCGTGCTGCAGAGAGGGAGAGAGTCGAAAAGCAAATGGGAACAAAACAAAAGGAGGAAGGGGTGTAAGAACATGGTGTCCCACCTGCTCTAACCCCTGATGGGCTGACAAAGCCGGAGTTGTTCTCCCATAGCCATACACTGCTGTTGCTCTCTTTATCATGTTTTACACTTTTCATAAATCTGAGCTAGCGTGTCCACAAGGGGTATTATTATGTGTTACAGAAGGGCCCAGACCACAAATGTGCCTGTAATCTTCAACATCTGCACGATTGGAGATGGCCGGGTGGATCCCCAGTGTATTGGTGTTCAGTAGCAGGCTTTTTGATTTGTGGTGTTCACACAAATTGTTGTGTTGGAGTGGGTGAATGAAAAAAAAGATATAGATGAAGAAGAGTGCCTGCATGACCTCAAGGTCTGATTTCGTCACTTGTCAGGGAATGTGTGGCATGTGTGTACATGAATATGTGTGTTGTGACTCCAGTGTGTGTATCACAGGGTTGTAAAGGGGTCAGCACTTTGTTAAATCCCCTTCTTCAGAAGAACACATGTTAGCCTCTATGTCTGATCTATCACCTGCCAGACAGTGAACACCAGCCAGCACAGAGCCTCTGGGTGGGCACTGACTCTCAGCTGCGGTCTGCCAGCTACTCTGACACCCTAAAAAGCAAACAAGGCCACATACATGTGCTGACAGACAGACAAGTTTGTATAAGAAAAACTCAAGTGGCAAGGGGTCAAAGGGCATTCAGAGTTTACAGCTTAACTCACTCAGATACAGAGACGTAGCACCGACCCTGTTCAAATGTATCGGTTAAGACTTTAAAATCACCCATACACTATGGATTTCTGCTATATCTTTATTTTGATGATGTAATCTCAGTGTGGGCTATAGATTGGTTTCTGATCTAAGCCTATTGATTGGGAAGGGACCTGACAGTCTGTGATATTGGATATGGCTTTACTAATCTTTCATGTATGTGACTGGAGGAAAATAAGGCTGTAACGCTACCCTGGTAGCCACGTTCACTCAGGAAAGACTTCTGATCCCTATCTGTGGTCGGGCGAGGGTGAGACAGCAGCGTAGGCTGCCAAAATAGTCTGGCAGCTTGTGTTCAACCACCACATTACAGTGGTGTCAGAAAATCCCCACGAGCAAAGAATACACCAGAGAAACACTGAACTAACACTAAAACCAACAGGCTTCAGAAGAGCAAATGGATTTGTTTGTTTGGATTGTTAAAGTTTTCATTCATGATAATGATAATGTGATTACATGTTTAAAGACCTACACAGACACATATTTTTGCAACACTAAAGCTAAAAAAACCCCATAAAAATAAATCTTCCATCTTCAGTAGATGACAAGAACTGTGACTCAGAACACAAAGTCTAAAAAATGCCGTCCAGAAACTGCTTGCATCGTTTAACACCGTAGTAATGCTCTAGGGGTATTAGCACTGCTATTAACTGTGGGCGCTGACTCCTGGCAGTAGTGAGTGACACCATACCTTCCGTAAGTTGTAATTATGTGGGACTTTTTCCATTGGCAACGTGACCTTTTATCAGTCTCAGCTGGAAATTTAAGGGGTCACTGAGCGACGGTTTCCTCAAACAGCCGCTTCAGCCATCCAACCAGCTCATCCAGGCACTCTGCTGTGGCAAAGCAGTAAAGCTGGATTTGGAAGCCTGTCATCGACAATGTTTTTTTAAATTTCTTTCTTTTATTTCCATGAATCTCTTTGACTTTCCACTCAGACACAATATATATTAACCGATACATTTTACCTTCCCTGCTCTTTGCTGAACTATGTTGAGCTGCTGATTTGTTTGGACCTGCATGGACTCAAAACACAACTAAAGGCACCAAACTGAAAAGTAAAGTCAGTTATTTAGCAGCAGGTGCTGCAGGAAGGAGGCATTTCTCCTGCACACCAACAGTACTGGTCTCACTCTGGCAGCTAGCACTTTATAACTCAGGATAGCATGCTAAAAGTGGAGCTTAGGGAGTCGTGGTGGAAATATTAGATACTTTTAGAATGACTGATCACATATACTCTCTCATCTTCTTCTGTGGTGTGAGGGTTTTCTTATGATACAGCCACAGTGTAATAGTAAAACAATAGCTTTGGGATGTTGTTAGCAAAGGGAAACTTGTGATGTGAGCCACAAGAAAAAGAATTCACAAAAAAATCACCATAAAATGTTAATATTTTGATCAAAATCTGCTACTCCAATAGCAGCAGAATATTCAAAAACAGAAAGAGAGGTTTACAATTCAGGTTGTGGTGAATGCATTATATATATATAAAAGATGGGCAAACACTCCATGACGTCACCCACTGGTTTTCTGAAGAGTGGTTTTGAAGCTCAAATCTGGTCGTCCTATTGGTAAAGAGATAGGGTGGGAGTAGAGCTTGCTAGACAGCTTACCTCTGGTGGAACCCTCCCGCTTGTTACTCAGAGTGGCCACATCTTAACATGGCATAATTTTTAGCTTCACTATAATTTAAACAGGGAGTTATATAAAAGTTCACCCTCTGTACAGTTGTCATGGAAAAGGAAATTAGCTTTATAAACAAACAAACAAAGACAAATAAAAAAAAAAACTAGGCTGTAAACATATTTACTTCTGCTGTAAAACTTGGCATTTTAACCTGGGAATCTGCGGTGACTGACTCCCTTTTGGAGTCAAGTAGCCATTCTAGGAACTGCAGGTTTTAACACTTCCACACTGTCTTCCTTTATCAGTCTCAGAGGTTGCTGCGTAGGTTAATGTAAACCTAAATGATAAAAAAACTGATTTCACTGGACGTGTGATCCAAACATTTTTTCTCAATTTCCAGCATTTATCTTGTTTTTACAGTGTGTGGTCAGAAGATTTCTTAACACCAGTATTCATGTTACAGCATGCGACTGTTCCTTTTCTATGACAAGCCTTTGGCCACCATATCACTCTATAACAAGCATGTTATATGGTGATCTCATTACATGAAGTAGGGCAAGCTGCTGTCCCTCTACTGATGCCATGCTACTACACCATGCCATGATTAAATGTCCCTTTTCCTTTTAATTGAATGCCATCGCTTTCAGAAAGTCACCTACTGTGCCACATGTTGCGGTGGCTGTAATGCTGCGACTCAGGAGCAGCAGGAGGTGGAGGCTACCCCCCCAACACACACACTGAGTGTTCACATCAGAGGCTTAGTTTGGCCTGCTACAGACAATACCCTGCCGTTTCTCCTTTAAGCATGTGTTAATAGTTTCGGCTTTATTTCTGTGGCAACGTTATATTTTTTTGGCTGAGAATCAAAGACTCGCTGTGAGATATCCGGCCTGGGATGAAGACATCAAGAGTGGGCGCATGTATAAATAGTGTTGTAACAGTAATACAATGGATGACCCTTCAGTCCAAAATGAACAAACACGGCTTCATCAGTACACAGGGAAGCTGTATTAGTGGAAGTGAACTGTGAGCCTGACATACTATCTTGTGTTAGCAGCACAGGCTGCAGTTAATTGCTGCTGACTTCTATTATGAGTTGAGTTTGGTGGTGGCAGAACACAACAAAACTGTGCAACCATTATTTATTTTTAGGAAATGTATGACTGTTGCATCTCCATGTGGAGCCCATAAACAAATTCTTGAAACACTCCTTTTTATAGTTGGGTATATATAATACAATCAGTATGAATGACAGGTCAAGTCCTACTTTTGTGGAGTGGTGTGATGTGTGCAAAGTGCAAATAACATCCTACTGAATAAGTATTAGATACACAGACGTTACTATGAAGCTATTATGTGTCAGCTAAACTCTAAATTAAGTGTTGGTGTGGTGGATGTAAGGCAGAGAAATTTAGGACACAGTCATACAAGGTCAAGACAGCTGTATTCTGGTTAATATTCATATTCTGTTTTGGAACTGTAGCTCCAACAATGCTTTGAAAGATTAACAGGAAGTATATTGTTACTATGAAGGTAGTTAGTTAGATATGACCAACAACCGAGACCTGTATTTTTCTTTTTTTGCCTAATACTTTTTGGAAAATTGACACTGAATTAGCCATTAGATTTTTTGTTTGTTTGTTTGCAGTGTACCCATAGATGTCCAGACAACTAGCACTGAATTAGTTTTATACTGAAGAGGACATAAAAACATGATGATTCTCAGGCAAATTCTGGAGACACATGCGTTCAAGTTTATGGACATTTTGTAATGAAGATTGTGACTAATGATATCCTTGAAAAGTGAAGTCACAAAGAATGCAAAAATATGTTTTGTTCATTTTATATCATGAGGTCTTTTTGAGGTCTGGTTCTATTGAATGTCTGGTCAAAAAGCTACCACGTAAGGTGTTCCCAGTTCAGCACTTAAAATCATAAAATCATAACCGAGAGTCAGACTCTGGATCAGTGTACATCAGTTTTTTAAACTAAACACAAATGTGAAATACCAACAAAAAATAAAAACCCTCTCCGCTTGGAAAAAAACAAAGAAAATCTATCGGCTAGATTTTCCCTCTGTACTCCCAGAGGTCTCTCACAGGAGGAGAAACAACACTTGCAGGAAGTGAGGCGGGATGTTCGGAAAGCATTTAGTGGATCAATATGCCTGGCAAGAGAGGGGAAGAGAAACAGACAGAGGGAGAGAGACACCCAGAGCCCAGGGGAGAGGAAAGTCCTGGGGGAACAGTCTGTGCTTTTCAAGAGTACTGTTACACATTTCAGTCAGTTTCTGTAGGAACATTCAAGTCAGCAGCTTTTGCTGTCCTTCTGAGTTAAACACTGAGAGGCTTGGCTGTTGGAGGAGAAGTAAGTACGTGGGGGATGTTGCTGGTGTCTTCCTGAGGCCACATCCGCCTTTAATATTTGATTACTGACCAGTCTTCTAGCTTCCAATAATACTGTTTAGTCTGGTTTAGACTCAGTGTCAAGAGTCAACTGTCTCAATATCAAAATATTGATACTGACTCTTAAGCTCAATAAGCTGTTTTTATTTACTATATTATGCTGGAAGCTGGGACCAGGTAATTTTTGATTGATTATTTGACCTAAATATTTAAAAAGGTTGTCAAAGCAGAAGAATCTTACATGATATCAGATAATAAGTTGAGTACTTACCTTCTTTCAACATGCCGACTTTAAGACATTTCATGAAACGACAGGCCTGGCAAGACTTGCGTCTCCTTTTGGTGATCTCACATTCGTTGGTGGCCGGACAGCTGTACTCAATATTCCCTGTAACAAATTAGAAAACACGGTGTCATTACTTTTCGTCAGCACATAAAAAATGATTACATATTAAAGGGGACCCAACCAGAAATGGTAGACAACCAGCAGATCAGGACAGTAAAAGCCACAACACACAGCTGCCCCAAGGTGACCCCGTGTGACACTCCTGAAGGAGAGGAGGGTTTAGCGGCATTCTGATGGGACATGTTAAAAGCACCTCCACGCCCTGGAGTCCCACTCCTGTTTTGATTCACAGATAAATTTGCTGCATTAACGCAGAGTATCCTCACTGCAAGCCTAACTATGACCCCTTCTAGCCCACCCTTCTTCACCTAAAGGATGATGGGAAAGCTGCCCTCGCTCATCAAGAGCTAAGAGCTAAACGCCCCGCTGGGCGTTCTGTGTAATGTTCTCCAGTAAAGACCAAAAGCTGCTGTTAGACTGGCCGATCTAAGGCTCCCATATCATGTAGCAAAGCTCGATTTATTATTTAAGTCCGTCTCGATGGCTGTTGGCTGAGTATGGAAATATTTCCTGTGCAATTTAATCACTCAGATTCAGAAAGAGCCAGAAATGCAGACATATTGAATCTGCTGCCCTGTAGCCAGGTTCCGGTTAATTTCTTCTCTGATCATTATGCGGTCACTTCAAAAGTTGACATGACCCGCCTCAGAATCCAATGACAAATCCTCTTTTCTAAGTATCTAAATCCCTTGACTGAATGTTTAACACAATGTCCCATAAGTCCAGAGTTGTATTAATGGTGCCTAAAAACAGCAAACCAGGTGCTGTCTGTTGAAACTCTCCCTCCCCCACCACACACACACACAACCTCCTGCTGGTCAAGGAGAAGGTGCCAACATTTGTCAGGATCCCTGGCAACGATGGTGCTAGCAGGGTCACATGCACAGTGAGGGGGCCGGGGCGCCACGCCAGGACGTTGGCAGAGGCTGCTGCTGGTTTCAGGGTGGCTAAAGTCTTTTAAACTGAGGTGTAAGCAGACGGAAAGTACAGTATACTGCAATGCTCATGTGTAGATAAAAGACGCTTGCTGCGCACCAATTTGATACTACATGCTAACTATATATAGCATGTACTATACAGTATATTAATTGTCAAAGTTTGTGCAGTTAGAATAAAGTAATTCTTAATGACTTTGTCCCAGTTTCAAATTACATACTAATTTTACACTGGTTTTGAATATGTACTATTTTGAGTTACTATTAAGTGGAATATTCAAAATACACAACAAAGTCAGTATGTGTACTAAAAGTACCCCTGATTTTTGAGGGTGCTGTTGATGTACGCTGATGTCCCATATTACAGCAGACAAAATAAATTCACACAAGCAAAAACAAACTTTATGAATTTGGAGACATTTTCATTTGGCAGTAACCACTCGTATCCACATAGCCACCACGACTGATGACTAATGGCAGGTGTGTTACACTATTTGCTGTTAGTATAAGAGAGTAAAGATGGTTTCCTGTAATATACAAGAAATGAATGTACTTTGCTATATTGCAAAAACATACAATGACAATCACTATACAGTAAAAATAACACTCTTAAAAGCTCTCATTTACTGCTCACTATAGAGCAAACTACTCTGTTAGAAAGGGAATAGAAGGAACAGGTCAGTGTTTTTGCTCATTATAATTTTTCTGTTGTCCATTATCAACATTATGTGTATGGAATATAGACAAGGTATAGTTCAGATTTCTTTCATTGTGTTTTCAGCTTGTATAGTTTTTCATGATCATATTTTTTATTCATTAACATACTGTGTAGTATTTTTCAAACATAATACAAATGCAGAGGATTTTCATCAGTTTGGAAACTATTACATGCGTTTAGTATTTTTTGGTTACTAAAGGAAACACTGTATACCTGAATGGATAAAAAAAAAAAAACCTGTATGTGTGTGTTGGTGAGTGTATGTGTGTGTTAGTGAGGGGGGGCATGCACTGGGGGTCCAGAACAGTCCTAAAGTGCCTACCTCTAAAAGCTCACTGTCGGCATACGCTCTTAGTTAATCAGGTCCTGCATCCACCTTTATTTCTCAAAGGACATTTCAACTACTTTATTATCCTTCCTTAACCTCTCTTATTTTCCCTCTAAATTTTGATATATTATTATGCCATGCTATTATCCACACTCTCATCTCCACTCAAGCTGGACCTCTCCTTGTCCTCTTCCTTTACCGAGGCCGGGCCCCCCCTTCCTGATTACCATTCCATTAAAGCAGCTTCTCCTTTCACTGAATGACCACGTCGCCTGTCCCTTGTCCCTCTGACTTTTATTTAGAGGACTCCATCTCTCTTCTCTCTCCCCTTCGTTTGTTATTGCACCAACAACACGTGCCTCAGCTTCTAATTGGCCCCCATCTCCTCCCCCTCGGGTGTAGGGCTGGAAGGGCCTGGGGACAAACAACAGATCCACACCTCCCTCCCTCCTTTCCTGACTTTCTCCCAATGAAATGCCTAGTTCTTAATTACAGTCACCCAACACTGATTGTTATTGACTGAAACTCCCGCAGCTCAGGACGAATGACGGACAGATTAGGTTCATTACAGGCCTGTCCTCCATGAAGGAGAGGAAGATGAAGGAGAGGGGGGCATCTGTGCCAGACAGCACAAGCTCACACAGGAACACTAACAGTTTTGCTGGCTAGATTGAGACGTGCATCCTTTAACCAATAATCAAACACAAACCAGGTTTCAATACATGGCTAGAATGTTTAGCTGGGTTGAAAGTGTTATTTGCATTTGAGTTGCACCTTCAAATGTTTTAATTGAGACATGTTCTTTCCACAGCAAGGAAATAACACAGCCAATAAAACAAAAATAACATCAGCTAGTAATCAGGTACTGTAGTTTAAATAAGCCAAAGGACATCGAGTGGCTGCTGTCTCAAACCATAACTACAGCATGGACTTGATCCGGACCTGAACATGATTTCTAAATTTTTGTCCTAACCCAGCAGGAACCCTGGGGTACTGATGGGTCCCGTCAGGCTCGGTTGGGGTATCCATACTCTACAGTCAGTTACAGTATGTCACTGTTTAATAGCAGAAACACCTATATGTAGCACCTATAATGTGTATTTTACTGTTGTGAATTACAGAGGGTCAGAGAGCATTGCACTGAGGATCTAGTGAAGCAACCAGCTAACCATGTTCTCTTTCTTATTTTGGTATTAATTCACTGTTATGGTTTTAGCCAACTACTTATAAAATTCATTAGGCAAAAGAAGAAGATGTCTTTGTTAGTTCAAAGGGGTTTGCACAGAACATTTCATGTTGTCGTGGCCTCGCTGACCTGCTGTAACTTCATGATGCTGCAGATAAAATTCTAAACTCTGCATCTCAGTTTGCAGCACATTATCTCTATCCAAGTGATTATTCTGAAACAGTTCCCACACATTGCAGAGCCTATGCCAGAAGTACAATTCACACGCAAACACATTATACAAAATCACAGCCCAGAGCAGATTTACAGTCTGGGCCTAATGCCTGCTGTAAACACTTATAATCACTACACCATATTAGTCCCATAAGAGCAGAGGGTTTGATATCAGCGCTGAGGAACACATGGAGCACACGGCAGTGGATTTCTCATCAGGTTTTTACTCGCAGTCACAACTGTCATGGTAAAGCTAATAAAAACTCTTAGAATTTTAGAATCAAGTGCACTTGCATAGTGACAGTAGTGACAGTACACCTCAGTTAAAGGGGTAACATTTTTATACAGTTATATGAAGGCTTAACTGAGAGTGCACAGACATGGGAGACCAGCTGAGGTGAATCAGTGAAGGTTGAAACAGAAGTGAGAAATACCTTGTATTGTCCTTTTGAAAAAGGCTTTGCAGGCCTCACAGGAGGCCACCCCGTAGTGGTACCCTGAGGCAATGTCTCCACACACCAGGCACAGCCTCTTGGGGATGGCATTGAGCATGTACTCGCATTTGATTGGCGAGTCATCTGCCATGCCACCAGAGCACTCGTCGTAGCGGCGCAGACAGGCGCCGCCGCCTCCAAGCATGCCTGGGTTGAACATTGGTGGAGAATCCAGGATGTGTGAGCGTCCGCCGCTGCTGTTAACGTAACCGCCGCTGGCATCGGAGTTGCCGCTGGGACTGTGGTGACTACCAGTGTCAACCAGTGAGGAGGATGGACTAGAAGGCTCGGTTTTGACGTAAGAACCACAGCTTGAGGTTAGGTGTCGGTCCTCAGACGGCATTCTGGTCAGCAACCTGGATAAACACAGACAGGGCCACAGCTACAGTCAATTTTGGTACTGAAAACAGGACCACTGGAAAATTTTTTTGAACAGACAGAAATAAATCAAAGTGTAGGCAACTTTCCAAAAATCTCAATAATTGTCAGAAGAACTCCATGAACTCAAACAGTCTCTCATTTTCTTCATCACAGATAATCTAATAGTTCAACTGAAGTCAAAAACCTGAGGGACAGGGCTTTCAAACAACACCAGCATTATGGAAATAATGCTCATTTGCCTGATGTGCAAATGAGCAATGAATTTATTGAGAACTAAGAAACAAAGACCCCTACATAAAAGAAAATATACATCAGAAAACTGCATTATTGCTACTAAAAGGTCTGACAAGATGTACTGAATGTAGCTTTCTTCCATCATTGCCTCATCACCCTGCAAGAGATTCATCAGCTGTGATGGAGCGCCCCGTTCCATCTAAGATTGATAGATTATATTACAGACACAACCATTAATGTGTTGGAATGCCAAGTGATATACTACAGCAGCTTTTTACCTCTCAGGCAAAATAGTAACTAACGACCATGTCAACAAATGCCCCATACATCTTGCAAACAATGCCCACAATTGGTCGGCTGCCAGGAGCAAATGAATGAATGAAACTTCAGAAGGCTGTTAATGGACAGAGAGAGCCGTTACACTCGGCATGTAGAGGATCATGGGTAATACATGACCCAATCAATGGACCTGGTTAGTTTACGAGTGGAAGTTGCCTGGCTATGGTGGAGAGGCCGATGAAGACCTGGGATGGAGATCGCCAATCTCAAATTTCATGATATGGTTTAGAAAAAGCAGTGTTAAAGAAAAAAAGCCACTTCTGTACTTGAACACATGACGTGTCTTCAGGAGGCATCTGTCCTCTTCCTGAGGTGTCGTACCCCCCACACACCCATTGAAGGGCTATTTGGGAGTTGTTCCCTGTGTGAACTGAGGTATAAAGATAGAGAATGTTATATGGCGTGCAGATTGTAAAGTCTTTTGAGGCAATTTTGTGATTTTGGGCTTCATAAAAGTTTAACTTGAGCAAAAGGTTCTTGGGGAAATTTTGTATTTCAGCAAGTCTAAAAGACTTCAAAGCTTCATGAAAATATGTTATGCATTTTGATCCATGTGAGCACAACCCATCGACGGACACTAATTTAATCTTTCAGGCAGTACAACAGCTGCTTGTTGTTGTACTTGAAGTGGCTTCAATAATATCCTTTCAAACAAAGCATGAAATGAGGCCTGGGTCTGTTAAGGACCTGCTGGCTCTGTCTGTCACAGCAGGTGCTGATCTTACACAAGTTCAGCCCACCATGCTTGTGAGCTGTAAATATTTTGTTAAAAGTAGCGGAATGCCATGTTAACAAATTAACAGTGAGCTACTGCAGGACAGATTCCTCTAAACTGTTTGCGTTTCACTGCCAGGGGTTGTCCCCTTTTTTTTTTCAAATGTGGTGTTGTAGTTAAAAATGTAGTTTCCCACCGCTGCCTCTTTAGGTATGTGTTTATATTAAGCCATGAAGTCATCAGGCCCCAACAACCTAAGACCTCTTAACAGGTAGTAGTGGGTAGAGGGAAGGAGGGAGGATGAGGAGATAGTCTCTACCCCTGGGCCCAGATCAGATCTATTGATCCTCTTCTTCCTTCCTGTTCCAGATGAGGCATGAAAAAATAGAACCTCCTCTTACGGGTCCCAGACATTCCTTATGCATTTTTAATCAGTAAGGACTGTTAACATAGCGCGAGATGCAGTGATACAACATTATGTTAGTCTTCATTCTGTTGCAGTTTATAAAAGATTCACCGGGCTCAAGTTAAATCCTTTTAGCAATCAGCATGCACCTATACTCAGTTGTAAGGTATATTTTTTCCCATATGAGCGAACTGGAGAGAGCGGCATGGTAACAGTTAATACATCATTGCAGCCAGATTGGGGGATTCCCTATGGAATAGTACATTGTGGCATATGTAAAAAGTAGTTCATTCCACACTTAGCACACAGTAACGCTGGGGAGATGTTTTTTGTTAGGTTTAATGGAAATTTCTAATGGGTCCTTTCAAATCTGTCGAAATGAAATAATGGCACAAACCACCAATTCGCACAGACAGAAATAGCTTCATAGTTTCATAATTTGGTTTCCCCCTCATATTATAAAGAGACAGAATTTCCTAAGCACAGCCTGACTCTCCTCAACCTGCCCTGTGCTCATGGCAGTGCACGCAAGCACGCATGCATGCACACACACACACACGCACACACACACACACACATACACACATTGCACCTAATATCTAATGGGGTGGTGTTTGCTCTGCCGTACAAAAAAATGGTACAGACTGAGCAGACAAGCAAGTCTCATCAGACAGACGTGAAGGTCACCTGCCTTCTCTGTTCTGCTGTTGTTAGAGGCTCCCACAGTGGACACACAGAGGTTTCAGTCTGCCCACCACACTGAGAGAAAGACGGCGTCTAGACACAACATGTAAAAACCAGAGAGCAGGCCAGAATGTGGTCCAGAATGTGGTCCAGAAAAAAAAAATCAACCAAGAGAACACCTGAAATGCCAAAGCACTGACCACTGCATTTTTATTTTTCCAAAGCGTGATGGGCGTGAAAGTGTCCCACCAGAGAAGCTTATCTCTGTGTGTGTGTGTGTGCGTGTGT